GCAGCTTCTGTTTTACCACTAGTTGAACAGCTGGGAGAGAGAGCAGGAGGAGTGAGGAGGGGAGAAATCCCTGGAGCTCCTTTTAGCACAGTCCTAAATCCCAATTCCTTTAGCACCAGAAAATCCAAGCCCCATGTGAGAGAGAGAATAGAGGCCAATGCCTGTCCTGGGCCAAGGAGGCACCTGGCCTGAAGCAAGCTTTGCTGGAAAAATGACCTTCGTTACCTGAATGTTGTCAGTGGCAGGAGGAATGGGATGGGCAAAAGAATTTGCTCTTCAAGGTTATTTAACTCATTGCCCTGCAGGTCTTGCATCCCAGCACGGGTTAGAGCACCTGGCAGGACACAGATCATCCTGTGAGGACAGACTAAGGGAGATGGGGGCATCCAGCCTTGGAGAAAAGAAGGCTCCAAGGAGACCCTAGAGCCCCTTCCAGTGCTTAAAGGGACTCCAAGAGAGCCAGAGAAGGACTTTGGGCAAGGGCCTGAAGTGACTGGACAAGGGGTAAAGGTCTTAAGCAGAAAGAAGGCAGGGTTAGGTTAGACATTAGGAAGAAACTCTTTACTGTGAGAGTGGTGAATCCCTGGCACAGGTTGTAGCAAGACAATTTTAAAAGGCACTTCCAACCCAAACCATTTTGTGATTCCAACCCCAGGTTCCCATCACAGCCTGAAAGAGAAACCACCAAAAAAAAAAAAAAAACCAAAAAAAACCAACCCAAACAAGCAAACATGATAACAGGTCCAATTAGCAAAGGCATTTGGCTTCCCAGCGCCGCTCCCCATTGCTGCTGGCTTTTGGAAGGGGCTGGGTGAGATGACTGGCAGCTCCAGCAGCTCTGTGCAGATGGACACATCTATTCCCTGTCTGGAGAGCTCCTGTCCCCTCAGCCAGCCCTGGCACCTCTCTGCTCCTGCAGCCAGAACAGACAACCAGAGCCCATCGCCTCTCCTGCACCCAGCCTCATCCTGCTGGCAGCTCCGGGTGGGCCAGCACCCCCAGCACTCCCAGGGTGACTGTTCCCTGGGTGCTGCATCCCTGCAGGGGCCGGGCTTGGAGCCCCAGGTGTGCAGCTATTCTGCCCCAGGCGTTCCTAGATTTGGGGGCTCATACTCTCAGCATGACTTCCCTGGGTGCCTGTGCATGTTTGCCCCCCTGGCCTGCCCTCAGCTTTGGGGTGAAACCCAATATCTGTTTAAATCTGAGATTCCCAAAGATGGTATCCAACAGGTTTCTTGAAAATTGGCAACTGAGTGGAAGACAGAAACACTTTTTCTTGCCCTCCATAGTGGGGGAAAAATCTCGTCTGAAGTATGAGACAAATCACAGGAGAATGGCTTACCTTGGTACCTGTCAAGGGGGATTTCCATGATCCTCATGGGTCCCTTCCAGCTCAGGATATTCTGTGATGCCCACTGAAATAATTGCAGCCTGTCCTGCCCGCTGGTGACGAACCCTTAGAAAAGGCAATGATTTCCCATTGCTCCCAGCTCTGCTCCCTCGTGCTGCTGCTCTCCTCCCAGCTGGTGAGCCTGTTGATTATAAAAACTGCTCATTCTCAACATCGATAGAGCTGTTTGCCTCCCACCCCACTGGGCTTTGCCAGCTCTTTTTTTTTCTTGACTTAATGGGATGTTTACTCCACAACAGCCTTCCCTCAACACGCAGCAGGAGGAACTCTGGACCGCCACCCAACAACACTCTGGCTTTCACACTGAGCTGGGAGTAGACGGGATTTTCCTCCCTCCTGCAGCTCCCGACACTGTTGGGGTTGAATGTTGGTCCCCAAATCCAACTGAGAGGTCTTGCAGCTCATTTCTACCCAGGGGAAGAAGCTTCTCATATGGTTTGGAGTCTGAGGACTATTCAGCCTCGGGCAGGTAGGGCTGGTCTGAGGTGTGTGCAGGAGTCCTGCCCTGTGGTGCCAGTGCAGCTCTAAGCAGGCGGCAGGATCTGCCTTGGCAGCTGCCAGCCTCGCTTCACAGCAGCTGCCAAGCAGGCATCAGGTAATCGTGATTTCTCCTACTCCCTCTGACTTGGAAAGGCGACAGAGTGGGAGGGGTCTGCTCAGCTTTCCTTGTGGAAGAAAGCAAACAGGTATGCACAGATCCCTTTCTCATCTGTTCACCTTACACAAGTGGGACACCCATGCTCCTCACCTTCTCCATCTGCTGCCCCTGGGTGCTGCTCCTGGGCCAGTGAGGGCTGTACCAGGGTGGGTGTTCTGGCAGCATCCCTGGTTTGATCAGTGGCTGTGCATATTGACTGGCTCCATGATACCTCTGCCACACACTGGTGTCATCTTCCTTTACCTGAGCCTCCAGCACTGGGGTGGCCATGACTGCTCATTTCTTCAGAGAACAAGAGCCCCATGGAAGTTTGATTCTTGCTTTCCATGAGCTCTATGGTGTGCTTTGGAGGTCTCACCTCCATTCTGCTGCTCTTTCTGACTATCAAAAGCCCCAGCAGACTCTCTCACCTGAGGTCCTCCCAGTGCTGCAGTGAAACTCTCACCTTGTCATGACAGGACAGCAAGAGTCCCTGGGGGGAATGCAACAAAGCAGCTGATCCCCAAGGGGCTGATCCAGCACAGAGCAGCAGCGTGGAAGAGGGGCAAGTGCTGCAGTGCAAAGCCAGCTGTCCTTGTCCCATCCTGCAGCACGGAGCTGGGGACACGCAGCAAAAGGCAGGGCCAGCCCACAGCACCCATGGGAGGGAGGCGTGTGCTGATGGCATTGTGAGAGCAGGAGATGCTGGAGGACTGTCTGAATTAACTGCAGCAGGCAGGGAGTCTTAAAACATTTGAAGAGGGCAACATATAACCACAAAGGAACGATTCAGGTGCCCAGGGAAGAGAAGTAAATTTGTGTTTCCCTCACAGGAAGTGTGCAGGATAGGGAGCAAGTTGTTCATGTTACAGTTTCCCACTGCTTCCCAACACCGACTGCAGAACATTTGTCTGGCAAATAAGCTATGAAGAAATAAGGAAACTTTGCCAAAAACGCAGCTGAAAGAGTAAAACTCTCGCAGATGATATTGCTGCTCAGAGACACTTGCCTCCTGCCTTTAAGCAGGCTTTATACCAGCATCCAACATTAAGAAAGAAAATCTGACAGGTGTATATAAGCAGTTGGATGCATACAAACAAATCCTCAAACTCTGCAAAGAACAGGTTATGTTTTGTGGGGGATGTCTTCATGTACAGGCATGCAGAGAGAGGGGCATTTTATTTTGTGGAAAAAAATCTGATATTGAAATCTAGAAAAGCATTTGAGCTTTGCTATATCTTCTCAATTTTCATTCTGGAAGCATTCTTTTCAAGTTAATAGCTGTATCTGTAAAGGGCCAAAAAATGCAAACAGTTTTAAAATAGATCCGTAAACAATTCAAAGAGATGTCAATAGACAACCTTAAAAGGAGCATGCTGTATCAAACAGGGGAAACAGAAGAGGATATAAATTTGGGGTGAGACAAGTATTAAGGTGCGGCATGCTAAAAGCATAAGAACATACAACAAAGACTGTGCCAGGTCATTAGAAGACCGGCAGCCAGTGCTGTGCTGGATTCTTGTGTTTCTGTGGCTGCAAAGAGTTCTGACATTAGGGCACCACATAAAACAAAAATTAATCCCCTTACATCAAGATCTGCCATGGACAATGTTGGGAAATTCTCATACTCTGCCCTTCCCAGTAGCAGATAAATATAAAGAATATTTCCTGAACTGAGATGTCAGAAAATGCTTTTGGAAAATCCTGATGAGATGGAGAGCAAGGGATTGACAGGACCGGGCAGGATTTCCTTACAGGCTCTGGAGAAGGAGCAGCGTGGAGATACTGAGCTACCAATGGGGTTGAGTCCCCTTCTCCTGGCATGAGCTCTGAGATCATGGAGATAGGAGGCAGCAATTGTGACTGCAATTCCTGTCAAAGCTTAGAGCCAGGAAACTATATCCAAGTCCAACTCCTGTACAGAGCAAATGACTTGCTTGAAGCTCTGATAAAGAATAGAATGGGAAGATGTGAAAAGTCATATGATGGAAGTCAGTCATATTTTCAAAGGAGGAATTTGTGGTTTGCAAATCTATTATTCTTTCTTGAGTACGTTAGCCAGCTAATAGTGCACTTGAATTCCTCAATTCCATGGTAACCTACCTCCCAGCCCTTGCTTCTCAATCTATTCGTAAGACACGCACACAAGCCTCCTTTCACGCATTGATAATGTAGTTTCCTTAAGAGGTTTTGTTGATTTTTTCCCCGCCAAGACTGGGAGGGTGGTTACCATGGAGTTACCTATGGACGGGCAGGCAGACTATCCCATGCCTTTGGAAAAGGGGATAAAGAGTAAGGGGACAATGTTTGCACATCATATATAATGTCTAAAGGTAATTAACAAAAAAGCTAATGAAGCACTGCAGAAGGGTTTCACGATGTTTAGCGAGCCGATGACAACATGGCAAGCGGCATCCAAAGAGAAGCGCCACAGGCAGAGGGGCTGGCAGGGCAGGCCGGTGCGGCCCCAGACCGGCGGTGCCGGGGAAGGAGCCGCTGCCGCGGCAGGCGGGCGGCCGGGCAGGCTGGGGAAGGCGCCCGGCTGCGGGAAGGGACGCGGGAGCTGCGGGGCTTTGCGGTGCCTGCCCCCCGCCCGGCTCCAGCGGCGCGGGGCTGGAGCGGGGACACCGGGCGGGAGACAGCGGGGACATGCTGCGGCTGGGGCGAGGGGCTCCCGCGGTGCCCGCCCGCCCTCCGCCCCGCACCGACACAGCCCGTCCGTGCGCGGCCGGCGGGGACGCGGGGGCGATCCGCCGCTCCGGCGGGGGCGGGAGGGCTCCGCAGCCCCCGGCCGGGGGTCCGCCCGCCGTGCCCGCCCCGCGCCCCGCCCCGCCGAGCCGCCGCCGCCCTCGCCCCGCAGACCGCGCACCGCGCTCGCCGCGGGCACGGAGCAGCGCCGGGCCGGGCGGGCCGATGGCGGGGCCGGGAGCCGCGGGGCGGCGGCAGCGGCGGCGGCGGGCCCCGGCCGAGCGCTGAGGCGGCGGGCCATGGGGGCGGCGGCGGCGGCGGGCTGCGGGAGCCCTGCCTGCCCGCCTCACCCGCGGCGCCTCCGGAGGGAGCGGCGGCGCCGGAGCCCAGGTGAGCCCTTGCCGGGGCGAGCGGTGCCCGGCGACACCCGTCGGTCCTGCCGCCTCTCGCGCGGGGAGCTCGCCGCCTGCCCCGGGATGCTCCGGCGGCACCGAGGGGATGCGAGAGGTGGCGGCTGCCGCCCCCTCCCCGGCACCTCCGCACCACAAGGAATGCCCGGTTCCCCGGGCGCGGGGTGCCCAGGAGCCACCGCCGGCGAGGAGGAGCTGGAGCCGAGCTCTGTCTCGTCCTCCGCTGGGAGCTCGGCCCGCAGGGTCAGCTGGAGATGTGCCCGTGGCCTTCTGCCGGTGCCGGGGTGATTCCGGGGTACCCCCTGCCCGCCGCTGCCGCTGCCTCGGTGGCCCTGGCACGGTGCAGCCGCGGAAGGTACGCGCCGTGATGCGCGGGAGGAGGAATCCGGCTGGAGGGGCTGGCGTGATCTGGATCGGATCGGTGCAGCGGGGCACCGCACGGACCTCAGATGGCTTTCCCCATGGCGGGGCCCTGGGGAGGGAAGGCTGAGCAGAGAAAGTGGGGCTCGGGGCAGGGATCTCCACCACTTCCCCCTCAGGTCACCTTGGCGTGCTCCTGGGTGACAGTGCTCCTGCTATTAGTCTGGTACCACGGCATTTGCCATCATGAAGTGTGGCTGATTGAGCTGAAAGAACAGAGACAAACGCACTTGGCTTCTGGCTTGAGGCTTGTTTGGGTTTGGTTGTTTTTCCTCATTTTCCTATTTTAGAGCAATTTGGATGGGATGAGTTTTGCTCCTTGTCGGCAGCAGAACTGGTAGAGAGACGTGTCTTGCTTTTGAGGAAGTGCAGTTTGAAAAGATTCTCACCTTTCTCTTCTCTGATGACAACCAGAGCACTGTGTGCCACCTTCAGCCTTCCGGTGCCTCAGTTTCCTGACGTCCACAGGGGAAAGGTCGAGGAGATAAAAGCTGGCATGAGACTGCCTCGAGGGCAGAGTGGTTCTGGGTCAAGCCCGAGGGAAGCTGAGCCTGTGGCTCATCTTTGGGAGGAGGCAGGAGCTGAGTGCAGGGGAGGGCTGGCACTGCCTCTGTTCTGGGCACAGACCCTGGCAGGGTGCTCCCCGGGTTTAGCAGCCCTCCATACCCATCCATGAGCTGCTGGCATCCATGTTGTCCTGCAGTGAGGAGTTCCTGCTGCACCTGAGCAGCAACAACACAGCATCCCGTTTCTTTCATAACAAATTGGGGGTTTTTGGCTCCGACATCCCCTGTGGTCATGTCCTGCCCGGGCAGTGCCGTGTCCCCTGCCTTGGAGCAGCAGCCTGTGGCTGAGCCTGCAGCCCCCCGCTCTCTGGCTGCTGCCTGAGGACCCCCGTGATGCTGAACTTCCACTTGCATTTGCTGCCACGCTTCTGTCTCCTTCCACTGTGGCTGTCACCCCGCAGCCACCAGGACAGTGGGGCCCAGCCTTTGCTCGGGGTGTCAGCAGCTTCTGGCTGGAGCTGGCTGTGGCAGTGCAGGGCTGTGGAGAGCTGGGGACTGGCTCCGGGTGCTGTGGGGCTGCCTGCATGGAGGAGTGCTTGGTGCTGGGAGCAGCTGAGCTCCTCGGGCTCCGTGCTGCTGCTGCAGGAGCCTGTGGGGGAAATCAGCCCCCTGGGACACCCTGGCATGGCTTGGTAGCGTGGCTGCTCTCCTGGATTGACAGTTCAACGTGCCAGCTGCCCACTTGATCGGCATGGCAACAGCCACTGTGCTGCAGCTCTGCTTGGAAGCCACAACTTCAGCATTGCTGCAGGACCAGCCCGTGAGGGGGGCACAGGGTGCTGCTGGTTGGGTGCTCCACCACGGGTAGCACTGAGCCAGCAGCATCCCACAGCTGGAGAGTGTCTGCCCCTTCCCAGGGCTTCAGCACTGCTCCACCAAGCACTGTGGCTTGTCCTGGTGTGATGTCCCCAGTGCTGTCCCCAAGGGCCAGTGCTGCTGCCAGCAGCTCACTCAGCTGCCCAGGAAGTTTGATCAGCTCAAGAGAACTGGGATCACTTGTTAAGGATGGACCTCTGGAGCAGACAGCTGCCTCTGGCTTGCTGAAGGACACACCTTTTTCCACTTGATCCACCTAAAACAGACTCTTTCTTCTGCTGTGACTCCTTCTGGGGGTGTGTTCAGCTCCCTGCTTCTTGGAGGGCTGGAAATCTCTGATCTGGCTGGATATGAATCCTTCTTGCTGGCTCCACAGGGAAGAGAGGGATAGCTGCTTCACGGCCTTCTGTGAGGCTGAGGGAGCTCTGCCCATCCTCTGCTCGTGCTCTGCTCCTCATCCACCTGTTATGGTGGGAATTGTCTTCCTTGAAAACGGAGAGCCAGGAGAGGGCAGGGGGAGGCCCTGCATGTACCAGAGCAGAGACTTCTACAGCCAGGACAGACATCATGGCCAGAAGCCAGCTTTGAGGATCCAGCAGTCAAGAACCTTTTCATGCCACTTGAAGAGACGATCAGAACACCATGGCTGGGTGTGGGGTGGTAGAGGAGCCTCAAATCTGGTGCAGCCACACCTGCACTGAGGGAACAGCATGCCCAGATTTAATTTTTGCTCGGTACTGTGAGTGCTCACAAGCATTCACAGATGGGCCTTTTCTCCTTAGGAGTGCACAGATCCTCCCCTGTGGAAAAACCACTGCCATGCCTTGCCACACCTCCATCCCTGACCCCTCCATCCCTGCCTGCACAGCCTGAGCATGCACACAGATGCCTGGTGACGTTGGGAACACTTCTGAGCTCCCTCGTCATTCTCCCTCTCTTTCAAATTAAGCAAGAGCTGGGCTCAACAGCAAGTCAATAGCAAGACTTATCTCTTAAATAGCGTTATTGATTGGCCAGGAAGCCTGGTTTTGTATCAATAGACGCGTGCACACGCAGGCGAGTCCTGTGGCAGCTCCTGGTGGTGCAGAGATGGTTTGTTGCAGGTAGGGACACACGTGTCAGCCCATGTGAGGAAGATGCAGCTCTCCATTGAGAGCAAGGCGAGGCACCCCAAGGTCTTTGGTTATGGGCCTTTCACATCTGACCAGCATTATTGTCTTGACCACCCTTGAACATGTGTCCCTTTCTTCCTGGCACGTGACATTGTGATGCAGGACCTCTGCCACCTTGCTTTGCCTCTGCAGGGAGACTTCTGGACTTCTGGACTCTGCCTTTGGAGAGCATGTGCAGATGTCTGCCCACAAATTGTGTGGTCTCCTCAAAGGTCACTGACCCTGCAGAGATCCTTCACATGGGAGACTTGGGACAGATGTGCAAAATTCAGTCTGCTGTAGCATCACCCAGAGGGACTGGTTGGAGAGGAGGATGGATGAAACAGGCTGGACCCATCCTGCCAGGGAGGGCATTGCCTTGTGTCCAGCTCTGGGCTGGTGGTGCAGGCTGTGAGCTGACACGTGTGGGGAGTGTGGTGGCACCTGGCTGAGCTCTGCATGGCAGTGTGGCAGGGAAGGCAGCTGGCTGCCATGAAAGGCAAAGTGCTGCTGCTCTCAAGCTGTCTCCCTCATGTAACGGGCAGTGGGTGGAGTGGGGTTCCCATGGGCTGTGAGGTTTCCCTGGCTTTGTTCCTCGGGGCTCAGAGTGGCCCTTGTCCCTCAGAGGTGGCAGAGTGCTTGCAGCAGCCGGGTCGTGCGTGGCTCGCTGCTCAGGGCCCTGTTTGCCAAGGTGCCTGCGCTGCACATGCCTTCATAGCGTGGAGCCAGCCCCTCGTGTGGGGACAGACAGAAGAGGGCCAGGGACTGGAGCTGGGTGTGATCAGAGCTGTGTCCTTCCCTCTGTGCAGCACCACTGCTCTCCCTGGAGCAGCCCAGGGCCCTGGAGCCCTGGCTGCTCTGTCCTCCAGGGTCGTGGAGCACAGCCAAGGTAAGTGATGCTCGTGAGAAGAATTGCAAAACCTCCTGCCGGCTTTGCTGTAGCGAAGTTCGGGCTGGGGCAGTTTTGCCCTGGTGCTGCAGAGCCCTGTTGCCCAGCCTTGCTCGGGGCTGGGAGCCACAGCAGCCAGCCTTGCTCACCTCGCCACGCGTGCAAACTCACACTCACTGTGCCAGACCAGGGCCCCGTGCCCCAGCCTTGCCTTGGACGTGCTGCCCGGTGCTCTGCTCTGTCCTGGCATTAGCTAAGGCTGAGGGAGGTGTCAGCAGCATTGTCCCAGGCAGCTGGAACAGCACAGATGATCTGTAGGGTCGGCTCGCCAAAGCCTGGCGGGTAGGGGCCTGTAAGACCTGGGTGCGTCACTTTAGCTGATCAGTGGGCACAGGAAGTTCTTGGCTGTCATGCCTGTGTTTCCATGTGTATAAATGTGTGTGGATGTGTAGCACTATAAGATCTTGCTCCTGTTTGGACCCTCTCAGTGATTTTGTAGACAGTGGCTGCCCGCAGCAAGCGCCGGTTGCTTGATCTTAGCCAGCCAATCTATGCAGGGATCTCGGGAAAGAACAGTTGGGGTTTTATGAAGCTGGCATAATTTACAGCTAAAATAGCACACCAGATATATGTCCAATCCAATCTCCTTTGTAATCTTGTTTTCATTAATGCCTCCAGGGTGGTGATGGGAGGAGTAAGGAAAGCAAACTGCAAAGGGAGTTTATTACCCATGCCAGGGAGATTTGCATGATGCTCTGCATTAAATGACCTCAATTTGCAGAGGTTAAAACTGGCTGTGGTGGTCCCTGGCTTTAGGGGTGTCTCCTGCCTGTGCTGGGGGCACAGAACATAAATCCTTTTGCAGATGGCTGTGGGTGTGTTCAGGCCCATGCACACTGTCCCAGAGCCTGCTCCCGTGACCAGGCAGGAGAAGCGATGCGATGCAGCCGTGTCACCCTGGCCAGCTCCACTGGAAAAGAAACGAAATTATCTCCCAGCCGCTGCCTTTGCGGGTTGCATTTCTCCTTAGTGTTCAAACGACATATTGTCCCAGATCTCCTGCCAATAGCAGGGAGCAAACTGATAATGCAGCTGCTATTAATAAAGCAGCATTGTTGCATATTCATATCAATCAGAC